AAAACAAAAAATATACCACATAAACCTTACATAAGCAAGTCTTCCTTTTCTTATTCAAAGTTTGTCGTAATAGCGAACTCTTGAAAATATTAAAATACAAATTAACATAAATGTAATGATTCTTTTTACTAAAAGTTTTTGTAAAAAAATAAATTTACTTACGCTCATTTTGTAGACTTCTCTTCCTTTGGGATAGTTAAGGAAATCAAAAATCCATTCGTCAGGTGTGCCCAACGTCCTATAAAAATAATAATAGCTAATTAATTTTGAATTTTGAAAAAAAAAAACAAATTTAAAATAATGAAATAAATAATTAATGTAATTTACCTATATTTGTTATTAAGAACAAAGGTCAACATCAAATAATTTGATTGGGTTTTGTTTGAAACATCACAGCAACCAAAAATATTTTGTTGCTAAATGGATTTTCTCCTTGAATTATTTTAGCAAAATTGCAGCCAATTGACCAGATGTCTATGGCTGTATCGGAGTCTTGTGATTCATATAAAATCTCTATAGCACAAAACTCAGTAGTAGCTTCCTTAAAAAAATAGTTAGATATAATTTTAACATTAATCATTATTAATAACATGATTAAATTGCAAATATCAAAATTCACAAAAATAATTATTTCATATAATGGCCACAAACACATACGAATTTATTAATTAATTAATTTTTTTTGAAGCAATATTAATTAATTAATTTTTTTTCACGTAATTTGTTAATTCATAAAATACTATTTTAAAAGAAAAGATTTAAATATTCTATAATATAACCTATTAAAACCACATAACAAACTTTCAAAGGTATAATAAAAATATATAATATCAAATTAGCATATTAATTAGCTATAATTGTTTTCAAATTTGTTACAATAAAAATTACTTACCTATAAACTATATGTTTCTTTCATCAGATAATTAAAAAATTCGTTAACACCTAATTAATTCGACACTTAGGTGTACCTAACATGTTTTACATGTAAAGAAAATAATAATAATTTGTTTTATAAATTAGAAAAATCAAACATATAATATTGAAATAAATGCGTAAATAATGAATGCAAATAAAATATATGGATCATTAAATTCAATAGTTGTTTCTTGAAAAAAAATATTAAATAATAAACCTTACAAAATAAAGGGTTAACTTTATTATTTTTTAAAAAATTAAAATTGTTTCATATTGATTTATTTGTTTCATATAATTTAAAATATTTTTATATATCTTATTGGGAAATATTTTTATGGAAAAATTGGAAAAATAATCTCAACTTTCACGTATTGGCTTAAATAATCCAAACTTTGGATTATTTTTAAATAATCCAAAATTTGGGACGTATTTGCTTTCATTGGTTTTAATTGGTCACACAATCTATTGTAATAGTTTATCAGATATGTGTCAACACGTGATTGGTCATAAAAATATAAATTTATTATAATACAAGTAATGTATATACTGGAAAAAAAATTGAATCAAATAAAATTGTCTCCTTCATTAGTGATACTAAACTCTAATTTTTTTCTTTGAAGAAAACCAGATTCCTGTCAACCTATTCTGCTCTTTTTCAAATGCTCTATTGTATATTATCTCTCTAATTTTTGCCTTATTTCTGTAACACATTTACTCACTCTTATTTTTTTTTCCTTATATTGTCTATTTTCATTGGATTTGATGAATTCAATTGAGAAATTTTAACTACATAAATTATTTTAAAAAAATATAAGTAGTATTAAATATATAGAAGTACTACTTAAGAAATTATTTATAAATACTAAAAATAAGAACCTAATAAAACTACATAACAAACCTTTACACTTTGTTTAATTTGGATGGAAGGAAATGGAAGGAAAAGAAGGAAAGATCGAGAAAGGGAGGGGGACAAACTTTCTTGTTTGGGTAAAAGATTAGGGGAATGAAGGGAAAGTAGAGGTAGTAATCCATTTTCTCGCTCTCTTTAATAATCATTATCCCTCCAAAATTGGAGAGATTTGGAGGGAAAATGAAATTCACCTCCCTCTCCCTCTCCCTTTCTTCTCTCTCCTCTTCTATCCCTCCCCTTCCTTTCCTTACTTGTTTCCTATTCACACAAAGCATTATAAAAATAATAAAAATATATAACATCAAAGTAGCATAGCTATAATTGATTTTAAGAAAATCAAGGTTTTAAGTGTGTTTCCAGAAGAAGATTTTTATGAGCTGCTATTTTTCACACAAAAAAAATTATATAAAAAAAATAAAGAGTGTTATAAAAAGTGATTTTTGACAAAATTTCCATTTTGAATTTAAATGGATTGTTCTTAATTAAGCATAATTAATTCAGTGATAAATATGATATATGTGCATGCATGTATGTAATGGATGGTTGATAAAATTGACGAAGTGATATAAACTCGTGTCCGATATATTTCTCTCTCCTTTTATTTATTTTTTATTTTATTTTTGTCCATTTGAATTTTTACAATTTTGAAGGCGTGTGTCTTACAATGTATATAACTCCATTTTTATGTATGTAAAAATTATAAAAAAAATTAATATGTATAAAATATACGATGTAAATCCAACAAGATCTATTATATTAAAGAATTGCATAATTTTATGTAATGAGACAAAAATATTTATGGTTTTTTCACCAAATGGCCTTGAACTTTTCAAAAATTCATCAAATCCCCACAAGTTTTTCATAATTCACCAAATGTCACTGACGTTTGTTAATATTCACACTGTGACCTCTGGTGTTAAAGTTCCGTTAGCAATAAAATTAATTCACCAAATGCCCTATATTTGTTAAATAATTACACAAAATACTCTTATTTTTGGAACTACAATGTCTAGTTTGAACTTTAAGAAAACTAGCCGTTAGTTTTGATTTTCACCCTTATTTGCATAAATACTTGATACATAGCATCTCTCTTATTTGCTTAACCGCAAAATTTTAACACCATGAGTTATCAATCTAAATAATCCTCCTCAATGTATGAGTATTTTTGTGTAAGAGTTGCAAACATCCTCTATTCATAAAAAGAAGTGTCAGAGACCTCGCAAACATAGAAAAAGAGGGCCAAATGAAATATAGGTGAAAACTTACGGGCTTGGACAGAAAACGGATCGGGTTATAGTTCATATTTTGTCCAACGGACTTAATATAGCAAACTCAAGCCCCTTTTAATGCGGCTTGACAATTAGTCTATACCCACCCTAGTAAACAGTCTGGGCTTGTCCGCCGCGGACTCAGAAGTTCTTACTGCAAAATTTCTCCTACTACAACAAAATTTGTTCGCAACTCTTACACAAAATTTCTCATACATTGAGGAAGATGATTTAGATTGATTTCTCAAGGAGTTAAAAATTTGTGGTTAAGCAAATAAGAGGATGCTATGTATCGAGTATTTATGCAGATAAAGGGTGAAAATTAAAACTAACGGCTTGTTTCCTTAAATTTCAAACTAGACGTTGTACACTTGTACTTCCAAAAATAAGGGTATTTTGCGTAATTATTTAACAAAGTTAGGGCATTTGATGAATTAAATTTTATTGTTAACGGAACTTTAACGTTAGGAGTATTTTGAGGTCACGGTGTGAATATTAACAAACGTCAGTGGCATTTGGTGAAGTTTAAAAAACTTGAGGGTATTTGGTGAATTTTTGAAAAGTTCAGGAGCATTTGGTGAAAAAACCGAAATATCTATATTATCTATTATAGATTATTGAGTATATGTGGACAAATTTTTTACAGAATTACTTCCTCCGTTCTTTTTTACTTGACCCGCTTTGATTTTTACACTATTCACCACCTCCTTTGACCGTGTTTTGTGAATAATATGTAAGGAAAAACATATTTATGTTGGATCATTTTGAATTCGTCTCAATAAGTACTATCATAATATATAACTTTTATATTTTTTAAATATGGAAAATTAAAGTTATTAACCGTTAAAGTTTTGCATTGACAAGCATGATAAAAAAAACAGAAAAGTAAAAAAGAACGGAGGAGTATAATACAAACGACTGATGGGACAAAAATATAAACGACTGATGGAGTATAATACTCTCCGTAGCCGTCATTTTTGGTCGTCCAACAATCAACATAATTGTGTGCATTTGCATGTGTAATGACTACTCTCAGTACATTTTTGGTCAAAGAAAAGAAAACTTTTAATAACTACGTAGTATATCCAATGCATGAATCTATACACGCATGTCTTCCCACAACTATAAAATTTATTGCTATTATCTTAAAGGGTCTTTTTAAGCGGTTGAAGAATAAGGTGGATTAAAAAATATCTTCCATAAACTCAAGTCATTTGGTAGCTATATTTTTCCATAGAAAATAAAAATAATAAAAATAAAAAATCAAACAATGTCGTTGCTACCTAGGACTGGAATATATAACAATTTGTTTATTGGTTCTGATCGAACTTGTGTTTAAGGATAACATGCATTTTCAAGAAAATCAAACAGTGTTAATTAGACAAATTAACTAATCATCGAATTGGGTTGGTTAAATTTAATTTGAATTTAGTCAAAGTATAAGATACAGATTGAGCTTTAATTGAGTAATTTGCTCCACGTAAGTAGGTAATATATAGCTTAGGTTGATTGATTTATTGACATATATAATCAACTTATGAGTTGAAGAACCCTATCCATATATGTCGGCCGACCCCCATGTTATTGCCAAAATATCTAAAACAATGAAATTAAGTACTTTATCGCTGAATTTTACACACCTAGCTAGCTAATTCAATTCACATGTAGATAAGGTTAATGCAAGCATTAACGAACAACCTTTAGAAAACCACTTGCCGTTGCATAGTGTTCAAAAGTTAGGTACCATCACAAAGATCGTTTGCCAACTCAAAAGCTTCTAAAGCTTATTAACCATCAACAATCATTCACAAACCTTGACCCCACTTTTTCCTAATTTAATTCACACTATTTGTTTAATTACCCTAACCAATAAATACTTAGAAAAATAATAGAGCTTGTAATAAAATGTTACTTGATTTTGGACTCATATTATTTCTATCTTGCAATAGAAAGAAAAAAAAAAGAATGGATTAGATTTGTTCGTCATCACTTTTGAAAAGCTAATAAAATATGCATGAATTCATCAACTTACTCACCAAGAAGTAAATCTTTATTTGATGGCCCTTAATTTTACTTTTTTGATGATCCATGCATGACTCATTCTAAAAGCTTCTACAATATATTTTTCACCTTCTATATATACCTCTTCATAACAAACTATATTCCCAACACCAACCACCAAGATCATTATTCTCTTTCATTCTCTAATATAATTTGCTGCATCTTATTACTTAATTAAGAGGTGATTGTGTAATTGATAATATAGTTTCTAAGCAAAAATGAATGTTTCCGAGGCATTTAAATCAAGGAGTTTGAAGAGCATGATCGGAGATCATCTCCTTCGAAATGGGTTATCAACAATAAGTTATGATCAAACTAGGAAAACATCCACCATCAAACTATTGTCTGGACCTTTAGTTGTTTCAAAGCAACGTAGAGTGGAATCAGTTTTTAACACGATGAATAAACTTGGTATGTATAATAATATTGTACGATATAATTGATTCAAAATTATACCCACCTTATTTCTCTCAATTTTATAATGTTTTTAATTTATAAATAATCACATTATTAGTAGTGTAATTTGAACTAGTAATAACTTGGCAGTGAAAGGAAAATTGAGCTTTGTTGGAGGGGTTGACAGAGTATTCAGACGAATCTTCAGCGTACGAGAGGGTGAGAAGTTATTAAGGGCTTCTCATTGCAGTTTGTACACCACGGCAGGTCCCATAGCCGGCCGCCTATTTATCTCCACGGAGAAACTCGCCTTTTGCAGTGACCGGCCAATCGCAAAAGTCACCTCCGCCACCACCGGAGAACCTCTTAGGTTCCATTACAAGGTAATTATTAATTTATCCTGTCCTACAAAATTTTACACACATGCGGCATGTACGTACATTGTCAAAGTTGAGTAAAATTAATTTTGCCATGCAATTTATTAATGTCAAGTTAATCAAATTTTGACGTGAAATTTTCTTGTACATATGCAGATTGTGATACCATTAAGGAAAATTGAAAGATTGAATCAAAACGAAAGCACGAAAAAGCCATCACAGAATTATCTACAAGTGGTGACCTCGGATGAGTTTGAGTTTTGGTTCATGGGATTCCGATCATACAACAAAACTTTCAAATGGCCTACAACAAGTATGCAGTCTACCAAAGCTTAATTTATTGACCTCGAGTTAGCACGTTGGACTAAAATTGAAGATGTTGGACCTTGATCATCCCATATGCATACACTACACGTACTACTCCCTCCGTATTTTTGGTTCTTCCCATTTGGAATCGTTTGTTAAGATGAAAAACAAATCCAATTGGGAAGAACAAAGAAAGTAATACATATTTTGTACGGAGTACTATAATTAAAGTAGATCAGATTGAGTTCTTTGTTGTATGTAAATATGTAGAGTTAAGTGTGGTTAGTTTTGTAATTCTACCTTTAATAGCTAGGCAGGAAAAAAGAAGTTTTCCTTCACGAGTTTTATATTAGGTAGCAGATGATTTGAGATTACATTGTACTTTGATTAGTTTATCCATTGTTGCATTGTAGTAATTGAATATTGAATTGATCAATAGATTACTTGCTAGCTAAGATTTGTAACTTTTATCGAATGAAAATAATAAAACTAAATGAATGCATTAAATGGAAACTGCAGTATTCCTCTTGTTATTCATTTTTATTTATATAAACCTGGCCCTATACTTATTAAAATTCCATAATCAATCCCTTTCATAAGTTGTATTGGTTGAGTACATAAAGAGCAAGGTTTTTCTGCACACTAATATGTATATTTAATTATGTATATGATAAAAAGCTATTTATTTTCTCCATAAACATTGTTATACGGATTGGAATATTACTAATGCTAGCTTGGAAGTTGGAACATAAGAGAATTTCTTCATATATAATTATTAATTACATCGACTAGTTGCTGGGACAAGATCTTTATCGCTTAACTTTGATAAATTTTCGCACAAAAACTAAAAGGTGCAGAATATACTTGTATAATTGTATGTATTCATCTCGATTCTCGATCTCTATATATGATCAAAGCCCAAGTTGTCACATAAATACGAGCTATGACCTTCACAGTTGTTCCTTGGTTAGTATAGCACCAACTCACCAAGAGTAGAGTTTAACCCGGCCCATGTAAATATGGCTTTGGGTTTGTTGTTCCATAAATTTTAAAAGGGATAGTCAAGGCACAACTTGAGCATACATGCTCTTGTGTTGTGCTTACGTAATTATGTGCCTAAATCAAGATTGTTCAAATTATTTTGTCAGTGTCAAAACATGTAGTGAATTTCAAACAAAACACAACCCAACACATAATAATGTGTTGTATGTTCTAACATAGAGTCTCTTACAGTTTGAAGGAAAACCCGGCCCGCTCCATGGCTGTACTGCACACCTTGATACGCTTGACTGCCTTACAATAACATTCAATTTCAATTAGTCTATACGCGTGGAGTACTACAAAAGTGTCCGTAGGCTATCCATACTTATCTAAGCCGCACCAAATTAAGATCAAATAAAATGACCAAATCCAGCTAAATTATTAGCTTGCTTTTTGGTAAAAAGGGATATAAATGTCGTCTAATTGAGTTAGCTGTACATTAGACAAACATAATCAGTGTCTACATTACAACAATGGCTGCTACACACAAACATTGATATTCATTGGATGAGTTAAAAGTTGTTTCCTTAGCTTGTTTTATCCCAAACAAACTGTACTCCAACATTATACGTCACTGTATGTAATTATGCTTACAAACACCCATTAACTCGTTCTTATCATTCATACAAGTTTAAACCAATCGCGATAGATACTCAAGTTATGTTTCAATTGTCACAATAAAATAATTAAAGGGAGTATTGATTTAAAAAAAAAAAAAAAGCATACATATGTTTAGACTTCTCTTTTTCATTCTTCTCTTTATTTTTTTTCTTGTCAATTGATTGAAAAGCATAAAAAGATTGAATTAAAGAGCAGAAAAAGAAGAATATACAATATGAATATATACGTGAGTGAGCTAAGAAATAATAAGTGAAAGTATGATTAAGATAAAAAGGAAAAAGGAGGAAAAGGACATAACTAAATGTAAATTAAGCTGTTGCTCACAACTAATAGTATACACTTACATGATTGTTACTAAAGTAATCAAATCTTTCTTTAGCATTTTTACACCCCCTCAATCTAAAGAGGGGTCAACACAAACGAATTGGTCTAATGACCGAAAAAGGTAAAGTTATATATAAGGGTTGTAACTTGTATATACGATGTTGTGAAGTATAATTCTAAAGAAGTTGACAAAAAACTTCAATCAAACAGTAAATTCAAGCTAGAAAAACATAACACCTTTCATTGATTGAATCGATTGTTTACACAATTTGTAAATATTACATCAGAAGATCTCAATACAAAGAAGATGATAAAAAGTAGAGAGAGAAAATTAGAGAGAAGAATAGAGAGAGAAAGACCACACAAAAGTGGTGTTTTATTACAACTAGGTTAAGTCATGTGCCATGCACGGTTAATTTCAGTATTATTGTAAAAAAGTATGAACTAAGGCCCTGTTTGATTCACATTAATTTTGCTGAATTGAAATTATTTTTACTGAACTGAACTTATTTTTACGAACTTAATTTTACTGAACTGAAATTATTTTCACTGAACTTAAATTATTTTTACTGAACTGAAATTATTTTTACTGATTTTCTATTATAATTCTTCTTTAAGAAAACTGAACTTTACTAAACTGAACTTATTTTTACTGAACTGAAATTATTTTTACTGAACTGAAATTATTTTTACTTAATATTATTTTTTTAAGGTGAAGAGAACAGGGCATAAATTATCGAAATATTTATTAAAATGTGATAGAATATAGGATTAATATTCTTTGTATTCTGTTATGGTAGGATATATTTTGTAGATATTATGTAATTATCTCTTGAGATTTCCTAACGTGATTAGGACTCACGATTGTAACCCTATATATATTGATTAATGGAAAACATTCCAATCTGAGGAGTTTCATAAAATCTAACATGGTATCATAGCTTTAGGTTATGATCTCGCTTCCGCAATTTTCTTTTAATATTTTTTTTAGTCGGAATCATTGTTCCACGGCAATAGTCTTTGGTGCCCCTGTTCTCTTTCCTCTGCATTAATTGAATTGTTTGTCAATTAATTATTTTGTTCCCAATTCCTTTGTGATTTAATTCGGTGACCCCAATTCCTTACTGCCACCATGGGCAAGGATGACAATACCTCCACTTCTTCCTCTGATTATCACCCTGCCTTAGGTGTGAATAATATCAAGAACGTTTTTCCTTTTATTCTTGATCGAGATAAAGTCCAATATTTAAATTGGGTTGAACTATTTGAATGTCATGCACACGCATACAATGTTTTTGATCACATTGACTCTAAAACACCTAAACCGACAGATTTATCGGATGAAATGTGGAAACGTCTTGACTCTATGGTCAAGAACTGGATATATGGCACCATATCCAAGGATCTGCTCGAAACGATTATAGAAAAGGGGGCTACGGCTCAGCAAATTTGGGACAAGCTCAAGGAGATTTTTTAAGATAATAAAACTACTAGGGCGGTGTATCTTGAAAACCAATTTAATCAATTGCATCTGTCCAAATTCCAGGACATATCGTCATATTGCCGTGAATTGAAGAATTTGAAGGATCAACTAGCTAATGTTGATCAACCCGTGTCGGAGCAAAAACTTGTAATTCGACTAGTTTCCGGGCTAGTGAATACAGACTTCGATATAGTTGTTGTTATGATACAACAAACCTCGCCGCTGCATTCATTCGAGACAGCAAGATCACGTTTATTGCTTGAGGAGTCCAGACGTGCTAATGACTCCTCCTTTCAAGCGTCCTCGTTTGTGGCCCAAACCAGCAACACCGCTAGTTCTACAGCCCCTCAACAGCAACCAGCGACGCCGACCGGCCAGGGTGGCAGTTCAAGTGGTTGGGGTCGTGGCCGAGGCCGAGGCAAGGGTCGTGGCCGTGGGACGCCACAACAACAACAACAACAATATCAACTGCAACAGGATGCACCACAATGGGGTGCACCTCCACAATAGAGCGGCCCAATAAATCAGGCCCAATCAGCCCCTCCTCAATGGGGCCAGCCACCATACCCATACCCTCATCAGTGGGCTGGGCCACGGCTTGCACAGCAGCAGAGACCTCAACAGGCCTTTTTCTCTGGGCCGCCTCATGATGTGTCTATTTTATATAGTATTTTACCCCCGTCCCTTGGTCATAATTAGTAGTGTTTTTGGCTATTTAGAGTCACTTTTATTACTAATTGGTGTTTTCTAGTGTTTTCGTAAATTTGGTTGACTTTTGCAGGAATTTATGCTTTTGGAGTATTTTCCCGAGATATTTTGGAGAAATCACGAACATTGACCAGATTCTATAGCCTAGGGCCGGTTAGAGCCATCGAACCGCTGATTAAGGGCTCGGTATAGGTGATACCGGGGCATTTGGACCGAGTATTCAAGACCCAAAGAGGAAACCCAGATTGGCCCGAAGAATTGGAGCCCAATCATAGTCCAAATAGTGGCCCAAATGAGCCGCCCGACCAAAAAGGCTGGCGCCCGGAGGCGCGCCCGGCCGGGCGAGAGAAGCTTAGGCTGGCGCCCGGTGATGCGCCCGGCCGGGCGCGAGTTTAGTATTAGGGAGCGAAAAAGGTGCGCCCGATCGGGCGGTGCCTCACCCGATCGGGCGCGTGTATTTATTAGTGGACGTTTATCGTCGTTTTAATTTGTTTTAATTTAGGATTTTATAAAGAGTATAAATACTTCTCCGTAATACGATTTTAGGATCTCTTCTTCTCCTTTTTTACTCTTTCTTTACTCTCTTAATTATTCTCTTAGATTTCTTTTCTCTAAAACCTTTGTTCTTATTCTACTCTTAATTCCAGATTTACTTTGGTAACGATTTCTCTTCTCTTAATCTCAGTTATTTATTTTATTCTTTTTATCATGTCTTGTTTTATTACTTTGGTTGGTTTAATTTCTACTATGTGTGAGTAATTTTATTTCTAGGGTTTATGGGGATCCATAAATAATATGAAGGGGTAATTTATTGTTGTTGATTATCAATGCTAGATTAATTTCATATTGATTGATTTAATGCTCTGTGACTAGATTAGGCCTAATCTTTTATGCATGAGTTTGACAACATTGATTCGAGATTCGACAGATGAGAATTGATGTTTAAGTCTAGTTTCAATAGCTAGGTTAATTTATAAATGGTTAGGTCGAGATTCGAAAGATGAGATTTAATACCGGTAAATTAATTGTGTGATTATAATACGTAGCGAAAGCCCTTTATAATCTGATTAACATGCATTAATGAATGATTATTATATTCTACCCTGGAATATTATTTATTGGTGAACCTATGCCCTAGATCCTTTTATATATTATTTTCTCCTTATTCTTGATCTCCGTAGTTTAGTTTATTATTCAAATATAAATTTTGGTTAGCTCATAATCTAGATTATAAAAGTTAATTAGGAATAGAAAGATCCGTTTCTCTGTGGATTCGACCCTACTTCCCTATCTACATTAGTTAGAGGATTTAGGTATTACTTTTGATTAGGGGATATGACTTTACCCTGTCAAAATTTGGCGTCGTTGCCGGGGAAACGGTTTTATTTTTATTTCTGATTGTTTTTGTAGTCTAGATTATTTCCCTTTTGTCTCAGAGAGCGTTAGTTCTCTGAGACAAATCTCATATTTGCTTCTAGTTTTTGTTTATGCCCAGGTGTTCAGATCAGGTTACATCCCATTCGATCCTGAGATCGAACGTTCCTTCCATAGACAGAAAAATCTCTACAAGCAAATCCTGGCGGATTCTGGTGATAATAACAATAATCACCGAAATCCTCCAACTGGTTCTAGTGATTTAGAGGTATCATCAGACGCAGAATCAGAGATGACGGCTCCAAAGAAGCTTAGTGATTATTCACAACCAAAGCTTACGGATTTTCCACATCTCACCCCTACTCCGGCTCTTGATGGGGTTCAATTTGAAATTAAACCTCAATTTATAACGATGATAGAGAGGAAGCAATTCAGTGGAGCCAAGGGTGAAGACCCGAATCTTCACATTGTCGACTATTGTCAATATTGCAACACCATCAGGCAAGCCGGGGTCACTCAAGACCAAATCAGGGAAATTCTCTTTCCCTTCTCTTTAACTGGAAAAGCTAAATTGTGGTTTAATGACTTAAATAGAACTACACTTGGTATAACTGACTGGGAAACTCATGTTTTGAATTTCTATAACAAGTATTACCCGGCAGAGAGAACAGCCGTACTACGGAGTGCGATCCAGAATTTTGCCCAAGAAGCCGATGAATCTTTATATGAGGCTTGGGAGAGGTTCAAAGATTTACAAAGAGATTGCCCTCACCATAATTTAGCGCAATGGCAGTTAATCCAAGCCTTTTATAATGGCCTTGGAAATTCTTCTCGAATAATTTTAGACTCTGCAGCTAGTGGGAGATTTATGAATCTTGATGTTGATGATGCAGGTCAGGTTATTGAAGACATGGTGGTGAAGGATAATTAGGCCGTTGGACTAACTACCCTCAACCAAACAATATTTATAAACCTACACCTACACTAAACAAGTTTAGTGGTAAGTAGAGGGTCGAACCACGGAGACGACATAAACACTATCAACACCACCACCAATTAAGCTAGGTCAAAGAGATAGGATGGATAGAACAATAAACAAAATGAGATTAATATTAAGTTAAACTAACACCAAGGGAGAGGGTCAAACATGACAATGATCTTCAATAAAGTTAGGCAATGGAAATGAGTTTACATGCAAACCAAATATCTCATATAAGGCAATACCAACAATACCATCTAACCACCTATCGGGGTCAAAGGCTTTCCCAACTTAACACATGCTCATACTATCGTCATAAGCTATGAAAGTTAAGGTTTTTGCATAGAATCGATCGCCTAATGGATATCCCTAAGTTACACTATCGTCATAACTTAGTTCAATCCACCCAATTACAACACATGATTGGCCATTCACATGGAGTAATTAGTAAAACATGGTTACAAGGTATATTTAATCACATATAACCAACATTTGTCTAGCCTAATACATTCAAGATTCACCACATGCTATCACCAATCCCTTAGTAAAGGGAATTACTCACTAATCATGAACAACTAACACAAAACCCAACAAGAAGAACAAAGAGAAGCAATTAAACTAAACAACTACTCTAATCAAGCAAGAAATTAAGAAAGAACAATAAATGAGATAGAGTTTAGAATGCTCATTGAAGTATTAAAAAGGAATCCAAAACAATGTCACTTTGCATCTTCATCTTCTTCAATCCACCATTGAAGCTCTTCACTTTCTCTCTCTAAAATACCCTAAATTACTCTTAATCTACATTACAAAGTATAAAAACAAAGATTAAAACTAAATCTAAGCCTAATTCATGTGAAGATTGATGGAGAGATGTTAGGGTTTAACCCCTCAAAGAGGAGAGAGAAAACCCCAAAGAAACCCACAATCCAAACTTCCAAAAAGAGGAGAGGAAGAAGCGTTTAAAAGACCCGTAGCTGCTCGTGCGCGCCCGCGATATTTGCCTGCGCGCCCGCGCACTGGGATTGGCCTGGCAGCAACATTCATTTTAAAACGGCCATAACTTCTTTTCTAGGAGGCTTCTGTGGGCGTGCGACCTACCGTTGGAAAGCTCTTTAAGTCTAGTTTCCAATGCAACTTGAATCACCGCAATCCAATTTGTAGATCAAAAGTTATGGCTAAAAGAGTGAACAAATGTTAGTTTTGGAGTTCAGGCCCTTGAGCGCCCGCACCTATCTTAGGAGCGCCCGCGCCTATCTTAGGAGCGCCAGTGCGTAAGCCGCGCTCAAATCGCGCCTACATTCTGCCTCCAATATTTTCGAACCCAATGTTAGGCACGCCCGCACTGGGTTTAGCGCGCCCGCGCCATTCTGAAAGCGCGACCCGCGCTGTCCGCATGGCCTTGCTTGCTTGCTCCTTAACTTCCTTTGTAGCTCTTCAAATGAACTCCAATTCTCCAATCTCTTCATTCTCTCAAAATCAACTCCAAAAGCCTACAAAACACGAGGATAAGCACAAAAACATAATAAAGAGAGAAACGGAGCAAAAGGGGTACAAACAAGGGACAAACGTAGAAAAATACCGCGATTAGAGGATCTAAATAGTGGCATAAATGCCACTTATCACATGGCGATACACAATTCCGAATATGGGAATCCTAGAGGATTTGCGAACAAGGGGAAACATAGTGTCGACTCTGTATCCTTTTTGCAAGCTCAACTAACCTCTATTTGCCAAAAATTAGATAATCTGAGCACTGCTAATGTAGCTAATGTTTCTGCGATTAATAATAATTCTAATGAGGCTTTCTGTGAAAATTGTGGTATTGTAGGTCATTGGGAGCAAGATTGCAGGAGTTCTGTGGAGCAAGTTAATGCCTTCCAAGCTTATAGGCAGAATAACCCATACTCCAACACTTACAATCCTGGGTATCGGAATCATCCGTACATTTCCTACCGGAGCACTAATGTTCAAAATCCACCACCACAAGAACCACAGGCGCCACAGCAACAGCAGCATAAATATTATCATCCCAATGCTGGCCAGAAGAACCAACCACAACAACCCTCCTCATCTTCTGACCCTTCTCTGGTGGAAATTAGAGCAATGTTGGTTAATATGCAAAAGCACATGGAGAGCTGAGATGCGACAATTGATCAAATTCTAGCGCATAATAAAATTGTAGATAATCAAATTATGCAACTCTCCGCTACCCTACAAGCCCGCCAACATGGAGCTCTGCCGGCGCAGCCAAATCGGCCTACGGATCAAGCATTTGCAATTACTCTAAGGAGTGGTTCAAACTATGAAGGGCCCTCGATGCCCAGAGTTGATAAACCTGTTTTGTTAAATAATGCTAATCTTAATTCCGTTAAACCAAACAATGTAGTTGATAGCCCTGCAGGGCTAAAGGATAATACTAACATATCTAATTCTACATTGCAGGGTA